TACACATAGTGGGCCGGTCGAGGTTGGGTTGACCCATAAGTCATGGGTCACAAGCCAACCCATGGGTGATGGGTCAATCTATAGTCATGGATCATGAATCGAGTCGTGGGTCAGGCATATTAGTTAGGTATGTCAAACATATCGAGTTAAATAGTTACGTGTCAGGTTAAACATGTCGCGTGTGAAAAATATGTAAACCAATATACGACTCGTTTAATAAACAGGTAAAAAACCTCACCATGAACACGAACCATTTAATAAACGTGTAACACGACACGACTCGTTTAATCCGTTTAATGTTAATTTATTATTATATTTTTTGTGACTATCACTAAATTAAAAAAAAAAAATTGTGGCTGTTATTAAAAAAAATCTCCCTAATTTTTTTAAATAATTATTAATTTATTATTATATTAATTTTATTTAAATTGATAAATGGGTGATAAACGGATTGACAGAACTCACCCGAACATGACACATTTATTAAATATGTTTGACTGGTCAGCCTGTTTACCACCCGAACCCATTAAGATCTCACTCAAACCTACTTAATTCTTGTCAATTAATTGTGTCGTGTCGGACTTTGACAGGCCTAATATTAGTGTGTATATTTTTTATATACTAGTGTGTGTGTGTGTGTATTGTAGTGTATTAGTGTATGTTTATGTATTTTTTGGTATATTAATGTGTGCGTATTCTTTGGTATATTAATATATTTATTTATTTTATTTTATTATTTGTGTTATTTAATATAAAGATAAATACTTAATCGATGGATATCCATTTGTAATCTATTTTAGTCCGCTTAATTAAAATAATTCATATTACCTAACTCATTTGAAATCTGTATTAATTAATATCACTACCCAACCTATTTATTTATGAGTAAATTGGGGCAGATTAATAAATAATGAGATAAGATTATTACTTCTAATTGCCACCACCATCACCGCACCGCTAGCCTCAAACCCAACAAACCCCACTCTAAAAATCCGACTATAGCAATCGTTCCATAGTTACATAGAAAGAAATAAGTAATAGAATTATGAAATGCTTCAGAGAGGCAAAGGTGTATCATGCGGTGGGTTTCTAATTCGTAAAATGGGTTGCAAGGGGCTCAAGTTTGGGTACTCATCGTCGGTACAGGATTTTGGGGTTCTACCAGTGTGGTCGTGTTTTTGGGTCCAGCGAGGGTAAATGCAATTTACCCATAGAAATATTATTAGTTTAAGAATGAGGCAAGCACAGGAAGTTTCTGAGGACCTAGCCGATGATTTCACAACGAGAAGATGAACATTNCACAGGAAGTTTCTGAGGACCTACCCGATGATTTCACAACGAGAAGATGAACATTTAAACAAAAACAAAAAAAAAAACCAGTAAGTATTTTTTTTTTCCCTACAAACTTCTATTAAATCCTATTATTTTTGTTTTATATCAATAAAACAATGTTTTTAATATGTTATTTCAAATAAGTTCTAATTTTATTATATTCCAATTTTATCCTTATTTTTTAATTACCAAAACCATTCATTCTTTTGCATTCTTTGTCAAGTAGGCGGCACACTGACTTTGTTTTCCTTCATGTATGTCATATTCCGCGGCACACAGGCTTTTCAATAGCTATGTAAAGTGTTTTCTTCCTCACAACAAGAAGCTAATACTTATAACATTTATATATTTACGATTCTATTGATACATTATATACTTGATTTTAGACAATTCTAATAATTTATATTAGATTTAAAATGATTAAGTTAGGGTTTTATTTTAGTTGTTGTCTTTGAATCGATAACGACATTAAAGTAGAATTAATTAACAAACATTATCGATGTAATTTTTTTTGACCTTTTCTTATTTTATTGAATAATCGGAAAATATTGTAAGAGAACCCATGAAATCACATATTCTGTTACATGTAGTAACGTCATTGACTGCAGAGGTATTATGTGAAACTCATAATAATGACATTTCAAAAATCATAAGGATATCCCTAATATTAAGTTAATCTCAAGGGAGTGTCAATAAAATTTACCCAAAATAATAAAGAATGGGTTGCATTATTTATCGTAGCATGAGAGATGGAGGTGACAGATTTATATTCATACGTTCTGCCTTTAAATTAGTTGGCAATATAGATCAAATATTAAGTTTAACTGAAACATGAGTTTGTTTGTAATTTTATAAATTTGAAATTTGTGGTGCAACCAATAATTCAAAAATATAGGTAAAAAGAAGGCAGACCGTTCAAATTCATATAAAGTTACCTAATAACTTCACTTTTTAATAGTGTAATTTGACCTCAAAAAAATAATAATTTTTAATACGGTACTAAAAAAATTTGTATTAGCACCATATAATCACCTGATACTTTTTGTTTTAATCTGTCTTACCGACGTACGTAAAAATTTCACTTCATGGTAATAATAAAAAAGAATAAGAAATTTCAAAAAAAAAAAATAGTAAGGTTTATCTCAAAAACGGGTGGATTTACTCAAGAAAAGCTAAATAAACCTAAAAAATGAGTACACCCTAAAAATTACTGAACTCCACCTAAAAAAATGGTATAGACATTACAGGTTCAAGCTTGAGGATCAAAAGGATTCGAAATTATACATCTATATGATTTGGATCAAAAAACTAATTCAACAAACAAATGGAAGTGACAAAAAATTCCTATCCACAATAATATTATTATAATATATTAATAATATATTTTTATAATAATTTTAATAATAAGACCTAACAAATAATAATTTGTTTAATTAAAATTAAAATAGATCAAAATAAATATCTCCTATTTTTATCGGATATCATTACATCTATTAGTATTCATAGTATATAAGTTACATAACACACAAAAAAAAAATCAAGAGTTATTTAAAAAAAAAAATAAAAAATCATAGTCATATCTTGGCCTTGACCAAACCATATTCTAACCGTGTTCGATCGAGTGTACTATTCAAAACACTTCTAATCATGTGAACATGTGTCTGACCATGTCCGTGTTGGACACATGCCCGACACTGTTATCGCACCTTTCGAGAAGTATTTGTGCTTTTTAGTTAGTCTCTTATCTAGATAACATTCTTGAAATGAGTTTTCGGGAATTAAGGGTCTGTGTGGTTTGCGTCTCACAAAATAGTATTCAAAAATAGTTTTTTAGAAGAGTTTTAGAAAAGTATTTCTGAGACGTAAAATTTGTTTGGTTAGGTAATTTCAAAAATAATTTTACAAAGTAAAAAATAGTAAAACTTATTTGGATAGATTGGTTCATATAAAAAAATTTTAATATATTAAAATTAATAAAAAAAAACTTAAAAAATAAAAAATTAACCATTGAGTTAACTGAACCGAAGCTTCGCCGGAGTAATAAAATTAAAAAATAAAGGAAAAATTAGCTGGAGATGACCAATTGCTGGAGAAGACAAACCAGATCTGAAACCTAGATTTGAAGCCTAGATCTAAAGATCAAGATTTGAAACCCATTGCCGGAGAAGACAAACCAAATTTGAAACTCAAATCTGAAGCTCAAATCTGAAAATCAAGATCTGAAACTCAAATTTGTAGCCCAGATCTGAAAGGATACTTTCGAAAGTTGGAGAAATGGGAAGGAGAAAGACCAATAGAAAAAAAACAAACTTTTTATGGAGTAACCCTGTTGCCGGAGAGCTCCCAGTCGTCGGAGAAGACGATCTACAGTCACTGGGGAAGATCCTTTTCGCGAGAGAATGTAGTCATTCCTTTATTCGGGTTTTGCCGAAGTAGAGAGAGAGAGAGGCAAAAAAAAAAGAGACAACAAACAAAAAAATATCTTTTATAAGAGGACCTTATTTGCTGAAAAAAAGGTTTGAAGGACAGACCTCTTTAATGAGCAAAGCTTGTCTCAGTATTTTCAAAAAAAATTACGAAAACAAGTTTAACATGATTTTTATTTTTTTGCTCCAATTCTCATTTTTTCTCAAAATTTTTAGAACAAAAATACTAAACAAACAAGTTTTGAGTGTTTTTAAAATTTTGATAACAAAAAACAGTTTTCAGAACGCAAACCAAACACCCCTAAAATTTTGTCATATGACATTTGTATTAATTTTATTATTTTTTTTATTATAAAAGAATCAACTTGCGTTGGTGAAGATTTGAAAATCTTTTCTACACAAATACATAGTCTTGTATTTTTGGTATTTTATCAAACTTTTGTCAATCAAATATTTTTCACGTTCCAACTCTTTCTCTAATTTATGACTCTTTTTCCTTTTAGAACATCACATATTTCTCTACGATTCTTTCTCTAATATATCAAAACAAATAATTTTAGGAAAAATTTCAATCATTCGTCTTATAGTTAGCTCTAAATTCAATGATACCCCTCTCAATTTTGAAATTTTATTAACAACCTTTATAAATTATTGTCTGTTTACGGCGATAACAACAAGCATTATTTTACAAAAATACCCTCTTAGTATTTTATAGGACAAATTTCATTCACATCTCCTGTAAATAGGCTTAATTTTAACGACATCTCCTTCCTATTCTGAAATTTTTTCACACTCCCTTTTAGTTCTATTATATTAATCTTTCGGTTCATCAAATTAATATCTTTTCTTTCATTTAATCTAAATTAACATTTGATCTCATCAAATCAACACAAAATTAATATTTAATTTAATCAAATTAACATTCAATTACATTAATTTAATTTTTTATTTCAACAAATTAATATTATTTCTCAAATTTAACTCTAAATTGCTATTTAATTTCACCAAATCAATCCTATCAAATTAAAATTTAAATAGAATATTAAATTCCATTAATTTAACATTTATCCTTATTATATTCCATTAATTTAAAAATTTTCATAATGATTTAAAAAGTAATGTATGAGATAATTAAAAAAATTAAAAATTAAAACGTAGTGAACATAACAACATAATGAAAATAAGCATATACTTCACATCTTTGAACATAAATCTCAACATCATTGATGTCGAAACAACCTTCTACTTTTTTCGTACCCCATCGATTGCATAAACATCTTCAACATTCAGAGACGAATAATTCGATTGCCCAACATGTAAGTTCCGTTGCAACTCTTTAGAATGATATTCTCCATCACTATTAGGTTTACGCTTCTCTTGAGTTACCACCTTCGCTTGACTACCACGTGGCCCATCCCCTTCGTCTTGTGCTACCTTTCGAACACAGCTTTGAAATCCTCGTGAACACTCCCTTGTCATTTTTTATCTCATCCATCCACACCATGTAAGAACTTGCTTTGTATTTGCTAAAGAATGAAGTAGTGGACATAACAGCCTACTTCAGATTCATTCCCAACCATTTTGCAGTATCCAGGGATCACAAATTCGAATGGCAATGCATCAGATTACAGAGGAGTAAATGGGGAAAGGAATCTATCAATCACAATCAACAAGAAACTCTAACAAGCACCACCAATCGTCATCGAAGACAACGCCTTCCCAATTCCTAGCCCATGCTACATTGTTGAAAGCCACAGTGATGCATGGAAGCGTATTGGATTGGGCAGCAGCAAATATAAAAAGGAAACTTTGAAGGCTAAATCTGATAAGGTTTCGTTTTGTGGTTCCAAGTATTAAGCCTTGATGTTCACAAGATGTGTCAGAAAGAATATTGGTTTCAGTGCAAGGATGCAATTTGGGGCCTTTCTAGGTATTGTGTAAGGTACTCCGGAGCAACTTTTGGGTCTTCTTTTGGGGTTTTAGTTGATCAGATTGATACTTTCATAAAGGAAAAATAGGTCTTAAAATTGGGGTTTTGTGGTGGTGAAAGGTGACCAAACACGATCTGATTGCAAGATAATAAGGTGCAAAAAAGTAAACAAGAAGGAGACAGTGAAGAAAAGTAAAGCAAGGAGAAGAAGAAACTAAGTATAAACCTAAAATTTAAATTGCGTTACATAATCCCAAAGAAATTTAAATTGTAAATATCTTGCAATTAATGTTCAATGAAATAAAAGCATACATGGACGCATAAAGGATTCCCAAAGAACATGTCATCCGTTAGATGAGAAATAAAAAAAAAATATCAAAAATTCGTAATGTACGATCAAATCATAAGAAACCAAAATAAAAAGAGAAATTAAATATACTTATCTTGTAATTTGTTTAACATGTTTCTATTTTATTTTTTTGTGTAATCTTGTTTTCTATACCAATGTGCCATCGACTCATTTCCTACACAAAAAAAATTATTACGTTAGCAGTTACTCTATACGATATAGTTATGATGAATACATTGTTAGTATCAGTCATTTGATCTTCTGTAATAATACATCAGTAGCAATCGAGTACTTTAATGTGACATCATTGGTTACAGAATTGGCTCTTGAGAAAATGTGGCACTGAAAAGGGTGTAATCGAGTTCAAAGATATGAATTTGAGGGGAGAGGCTGCAGTACCTGCTGGTCAAATAGTGGTACTATACAACTAAAAAGGTATGGTTGTGAATTCTTATCCTTATAAAATGTAATAACATTATCTTAAAGGGTTATAAACTCACTTCAAAAGATTGTAAACTTACCTCATATCTAGAAATAGTACTTTTATCTTTATGCTCGGTTTGGTATGATAAAAAAATGAAAAGATGAAAAGTTGGAAGAATAAATAAAATATCATGTTTGATAAGAAAGGAAGGATAGAAGGCAAAGTTAATGGATTAACTTTCTTCTAACTCACAAAAATCGAAAAAAAAGTGGATAGAAAGTTAATTTTTTGTTTAAGATATATCTTATTTATCTACATATCTTTTAATATATATATATATATATATATATATATATATATATATATGTATTAATTTCATATAAAAATACAACAATAAAATATGTATATATATATTAAAAATATTTTAAAATAAAAAAAATATTTTTTTTCATCTTAACTTGGGGTGAAAATTTTCGACTTAACACGATGACACGACTCAAACTCGACACAAATTTTATGACATGAACTTGATTATAGCTCAACACAAACTTAAAAATGACTTAATACGCGAACAAAAAATATAAAATGTTCATATTCAGTTCAATCAGTCAAACTCAACATTAACACTATCAATCTATTTATTTAAAAATAAATATTTTTTCTATTTTCTTGTTTGTATGGTAACACGAGATTAATACGAAATTAATATGTTTAACTAATATTATAAATATAAAATATTAATTATTTGTAATTATTTATTAAGTACTGACATAATTATTATATAAAAAAGATATTTTTACTTATTATTATTATATTTATTTAATTTAATTTTTAATTTGTAGAAAAAATATTAACATGAATTCAATTAAGTGAAAATAGAATATTTGCGTTAAATTTTTTATTCAAAGTTTATGTGGGTTTACACGAATACGAACACAAACACGACACGAAAATAAACTGGTCAACTCGCAACTCGACATTACACAATTAGTTAAATGAGATGAGTTAAGTGTGAGGAATGTTCGATACAAACCCATAATGACTTAACACGAATCTGACACTATACGACTCGATTGTCACCCTTAATTTTCGTCAGCACACAAAAAAAAAAAATTAGTCATTTTTATTTTTCATCCATCTAACAAAACACAAAAAAAAAATTGTATCATTTATACTTTCCTTTAGTATATCTCTCATACTTTCTATCATTACTACCAAATAGAGTATTAGTGCTTGTAACCCAACCTTAAGTAGTTATAACTTCATATCCAAATATAATAATTTTACCATAAATAGTTATAACTTTACATCAAAAAATTATAATTTAACATTTAAATATGGTAATTTTACCTATATACAATATAATTTACTCTCAAATGATTATAACCTCACTTTCAAATATAGTAATTTTACTTTCAATTATTGTAACTTTATTTAAAGAGTTTGTACCTCACATTTAAAGGTATTAACTTTATCTCAAGAGTAATAATTTTTTTTTTCAAGTAGTGACATTACATTTAAGGTATAACTTCATTTTAATAGTCATGATCAATCAAGATTATCTAGGTCCGTTTTTATCTCAAAACGATTAAATTTTGCTCCGGTTTAAGTTTAAATTAATTTTATTTTAATTTGCCTTAAATTGTTTTTTAAATTTCAAAATTTTATCAAAAATTCCGTTTTTGGGTCACCTGAGACTCGACTACCTCGTAAAATGCAAAAAATTCGACTATCTCAGAATTCAATGAAATTTGACGTGGTAATTAGATTTCATGATACGAATTCAACGGTGAGGTCCGTTTTGTCTTTCGAGATTTGAAAAAAAATTAATTTTTCAACAACCGTACTGTAGCAACAAATTACCGTTTTGCCCTTTTGTAAAAATTTTAAATTTATCGAGTTTTACATTCTTCCCCCCTTAAAAGAATTTTGTCCCCGAAATTCACACACACACATACACACTTAACCGCATGCATATGCAACAATAATATCATGCTTAAAATCATAAAACTTGTACCTACATCCTTGAATAGGAACGAATAATTGGTACGTATAGTGTCCTCACGTTCTCATGTCGCCTCTTCCACTTCTCGGTGCTGCCACAACACCTTCACTAGCCTCACGGTCTTACCTCACAAAATCTGCTCTCGGCTATCCATGATACACATCAGTCCCTCCTCGAAGGTCCCATCCACATCAACAGTCATCTCACCCCAATCCACCACATGTGTCGGATCTAGAGTATACTTCAGGAGCATAGAGACATGGAACACCGCGTGAACACCCGATAGATTTGGCGGTAACGCCAACTGGTAAGCCATTGTACCCACCCTCTCGAGTACTTCGAAGGGCCCGATAAACCTTAGTGACAGTTTTCCCTCGTTTTTTGAACCTGACCATTCCTCTCTTAGACATTACCTTCAAGAAGACGTGATCTCCTACCTCAAACTCTAGAGGTCATCGTCGTCTGTCGGTATAACTCTTCTGCCGACTCTGAGCCGTAAGAAGATGCTTCCGAATCAAGTCCACCTTCTTCGAGGTGTCCCTAATCAAATTTGGACTCATAGAGGGTCTCTCTCCCACCTTTGTCCAACAAACCGGGGAACGACAAGGCCTCCCATAAAGTGCCTCATAGGGTGCCATCTGTATGCTCGCTTGATAACTGTTATTGTAGGCGAATTCCACTAATGGTAAGTGATCTTTCCAGCTACCCTTAAGATCTAGGACACATGCCCGCAGTATATCCTCTAATATCTGGATGGTCCTCTCAGATTAACCTTTCCGTTTGGAGATGAAAAGTAGTGCTTATCATTAACTGTGTCCTCATAGCTCGTTGAAAACTCTCACCAAAATGAGTCGTAAACCTGGGATCCCGATCCGATACTATAGACACGGGCACCCCATGTAACCAGACAATCTCTCGTATATACAACCTGCAGAATTCCTCTAGTGTGAAGGTCATCCGCATTGCCAAAAAGTGTGCTGACTTCGTAAGCCAGTCCACAATCACCCACACCGCGTCATGTCCTCGCGATATCCGTGGCAAGTGAGTCACAAAATCCATCGTGATATGCTCCACTTCCACTCAGCTGCCTTCAAGGGCTGGAGTAATCCCGCTGGTCTTTGGTGCTCAACTTTAACCTATTGACACGTGATACATCGTCTGACAAAGTCTCAAATGTCTCTCTTTATTCTGTTCCAATAAGACTGGTGACAAAGATCATGGTACATCTTCGTGCCAATTGGATGCACATAAATTTGGGAACAATGAAACTCTCTAAGAATCTCCTCTCTGAGTTCTATAGATTGGCGAACTACAATCCTTCCCCTAAACCGAAGAATACCATCCGAGTGAATGACCCAGCCCTTGTCACCTGTACCTAACTGTACCCAGTCCTCGATGGATGATAACTCCGTATCCAGTCCCTAGGACTCAATCACTCTACTCAGTAGGGAAATTGTAGCCATCAAACTCCGCAAAGTACCTTGAGTTTGATCTCTATAGTGTAGCTCAAATTGTCCCATAGTCTCGAGCATCTGCCACTCCCGGGAAACTACACTAGCCAAGACTCCCCGTGATTTCCGGCTGAGTGCATCAACCACCACTTTTGCCTTACTGGGATGGTAATGCAAAGTGAAGTCGTAGTCCTCTAGAAACTCCATTCACCTGCGTTGCTTCATGTTGAGATCCTGCTGTGTAAAGATGTATTTCAGACTTTTGTGGTCCAAAA